TTGAAAGCATTTGTAGAAGCAGTAGGGGTTTTGTTTTCAGCGAGAAAATATTTCTGACTGAAGTCACGACTGAAAATGCACTTTTGGAAAAAATTCTTCAATAGAGAATTATATCAATAGCAATTCTCTCATTTTCATACCATTCGACAGTTACATCTATCACAAGAAATTTACATGGTATGCAGATTGTCAATTTACATACGGATAATACCATGAATTAGCATATAAATTTTCTATATAAGAGAGTTGAAATCAAACTGGAAGCATTGCAGTTACCCCAGCAGTATCTGGGTTGTAGAATGTTGGTGTTTTCGCAGTTTTGTAGCAAAATGGTCGTGCTACTTGTTATGATTTTGTGCTTCACTGTTATCACCAGTGATGCTTACATCAGTTTCATGAATCTGCCGAGCGTCGGTTTGGTAAACCAATTTGGTGTTTGGTTTTTGTCTAAATTCGATGTTTGCTTCAAACTCTTCCAAATTCTGCAGAAGTTTTTCACATCACCTTCGATACGCTGTATCCACCAGCAGCTAAAATATCCGTAAAGGTGATAGCCGGACAATTTTTAATCAATATTTCAAAATTTCTGACATAAATAAGCCAACAAATGAATTCATATATGATTCTGATGACTGAAACTGTTAAAGACACATGACAAAGATGGATACACCTCGGGTCTTTTCTCACCATTGAGAGCTGGGCAAATGATTGTGGTAACTGGACGTGTGAATAACGATGCGAAAAGGTTTTGTGTACACTCGCGAATTTGACTTCGTTTCGTTAAATTCGTCTTACGCATCTTTATGATCTCCGGCTCACTCGTAAAATTTAACAAATCGCAAAAATTTTTCATCAACAAATTTGTTAATGTGAATCATCAGGATTACTGCTTCGAGTCGAAATTTATTCACTCGAATGACACCGTCTGGGAATGTTCATAGAGAACAGCGACTTACTATCGTTCCTCATTTGTTACCCAAATGCATTGAGATACAAACGATTGCAGATTCACTGTGAGTCTCATGCGTGGTGCATCATACATGCGAGCACCAGGTGCCGAAGCAGTGCTTCATATAGATGTTCGGTTTGATGAGAACCAGGTCGTTATGAATACGATGGAGAAGGTTCGTCAATTTAATGGTTTCACTAGGCCGCATCTTTTATTTACTAGACAAAACTTGCAAACTGTGAAAGCTTTAAAAGGTTCAATTTTAGCGACACCAACGATCACATTTGAACACGATCAATCAGTTCGGTATTGATGAACATTCTGTTTTGTTGATCTGAAAAACGCTCAAAGAATGTTGTTGTTCAACATAGTAGAGATGAAGAGCAACTGACAGATTGATTGAATAAAGTTGCTTGAATAGAAGTGTCATAATATTGTGCTAACGAAATAATTCGTTTATAGACTCTAAAATGGGGTGAAGAAGAAAGAGCACCGAATCCGTTTAAACGAGGTCGGTCATTCTATCTCTTGATTCGAATAGACACGGATAAATTCGGTATAATGGCGGATCACGAAAAGGTTCATGATTTCAAGATGCGTCTCGATCTGAAAACCATCGAATACTTGACTGTGACTGGTGATGTCACAGAGGTGAATGGGCGGTGGTCAGCTGGTTGGGCGAATACGCTTCCGATGAGACATTTCTTCGAAGGTGGTCATTGGAAGATTGGTGAGCGATTCAGTCATTTTTTTGGATTCGTTTGTTTGAACAGCACAAATTCTGTGGTCTGGAATTTGTTCATTGGACATTTTTGAATTGTTGTGAATTATTTCAATGATGAAGCACTCCAATGATTTACTGCGGATTTGTTCAACACTGCACATTTGGCTTTGCAATTGTATTTTGCTGCTGGTTCGAAGGAATCAAATCTTCGATGCGGACAAATCATCAACTCCATAGAACAGTTTACAGCCGAATATTAATTATGGAATTGAACAAAGCAATAGCGAACACACTTCCTACTGCTTCTAATTAATTACTGATTGAGCAGAAATTAAGCATGGAGAATACAAATTGAAGATTGATTCGCACAAAAATCTTTCAAGAATTTATCAGCTTCAGTAAATTATAATTAGATATATCGTATAAACAAAGATTTATCATTCGTATGATGCTGAATTATTGCGAACACATGTATCATTGTGGATAGTAGCTAATCATTGGCGTTCAGGAAGTCGCTTCACCGTTTACGGTAAGGTGAAAAATGGAGTTTTCGAGATACAATTGATTGCATGGTACGGCGATATTCTGTTCAGTCTCAAAACTCGCTTCTACTACAAAGACGTATTGTTTTGACTATTCTTCACAATAAGTACCGTATTCATAGTTGATCCTTTTACCAACAGTGATAGAATCTTTGGAATGAACATTACTAATTGTGACGAGGCACTGTGTTTTCTTACAGAAAACTCAAAGCGTATCATCAATACGTTGAATGATATGTTACGGCCACCAAAATACATTTTTGACCAAAATACTGAATTTATCACTTACAATATTAAATCATTGAACTGCTCGTGCCGAATAATTTGAATTCGTTGTGTTTTTAATTTGTCATTTGATTTTTTGATGGAAACGACATCATTTAACCGGACTAATGAAAAATACAGATTGTGATTAATGCACGACTAGAAGGATATTGGGGAAAAGAGGAACGAGTGAAGGTGTATCCATTCAAGCCGCGCACTCAGTTCGCTCTCGAGTTCCTGAATACACTTGATTCGATCCAGGTTTACTCGGTTTTGCTAGTGGAATTTTGCTGGGAAATTTTAAAGTGATCGACCACCGTTTCTTAACAATGCTATTAGTTTCGGCAATTTCTGAAGTTTCTTCCTGTAGTAAATCATTCGATTCGACCATCAGATGAGAAAGGAATATGACCATGGAATATTAATTGTAACAGGTATTCAACGATGGGAAACAAATTTGCACATTCAAGCATCGAACAGACAATCCAACATACGACTACAATTTACTCTTTATATATGGTGATCTCGTGCTAGACTCGGTTCAATTTGACATTTGATGTTTTCCGATCATACGATTCCATTGTTATGAACCAGTTTATATTGGATCTATATGCAGTAAATGCAAGCTCAACGCAGATGTACTTTTAAATTTTCGCTTGTTTTTTTTTAATTTTAAAGGAATAAATATTTCTTCCGATAATGCTCACCAACGGCTATAACAAAACATCGATCCGGAATGGCGCTAAAGCCTGCGGGTCTGAAGCACTGAACGTGGAGGACTCCTAGTCGAAAGAGACTGCAAATGTCATTTTGAGAGCAAATTGAAAGAGTACGGGTTTGACATGGATGAGCTGGACAATCATTTGTAAAAGTGGTGATAAGTGAGGTGTTCTTGGCGATAATTTCAAATTAATCGCCCCATTAAATGTGCAAATAATAATTAAATCAATAAATGTAAGTAAGGAATCAAACAAATAAAGCAGAGCAAACAACTAAAAAGTAAAAACTGAGGTTACGTCGTGTTGAATGCCTGGATACATTTACATTGATGCGATCTTCTCAGTCTATGTTCTCTTCAGTACCGTGTGGCCCAATACAACGATGCCTTGGTAACGAAATCGGACTTAGCACATTTTTTAGTTTTGAAAAAGCGTACAAGTTGCCAAGTGATTCCGCTCACTTCAATTAATAACTTTAAATACTTTGAAACTGATCTCATTGTCACTTGCATCCTAATAGCAGGGATTCAATTGATGACTTTCGTCACTACCATCATTTTGATTGCTTTCGTCGCTGTCATCATCTCAAAACATTGTTGAATGCGAATGCTCACAGTAAAACTATTATTGACCAATCGACCACACGGTCACGGACTCGCCCAAGTTTTTGCTTGATGCATTTCCGAAAACATATTTTCAATGCTCGTTTCAGTCAAAAATATTTTATCGGCTGAATAAAATCCTCATTGCCTCCATAAACACCTTCAATTACCCATTCATCAACATTGGCGATACGTTTTGTGCATATGATGCATACGGTATGTTTGTAGCACTCTTAAGAAAAGCGCTCCCACTCGCTGATTGGTTACTGAGGTGAATGTGGCAATTTCAAACCAATTGGGATGAAACGATTGTGACTGTGTGAGCCTGGGCGCGAAATGACTCCAGTTTTGACATTTCGTTTATTTACTCAGCATTATTTGTTTTATTTCCTAATAAGTTTTAGTTCATTACTTTTTATTTCAATGAGATAACAATTTTCAGTGCGTTAGCGCTATAAGCTTCAGCTAAATTTCGATTTTTTTGTGTAGCTGTTGACAGGCTTTATCGAAAGAAAAGTTTAATCCTTCAAAAATTAAACGAATTAGCAAAAATTCGAAGGAATATGCATGACGAGCTATGATTTACTGTATACAGAACAAACACAAACTGGAACAGAATTAATGGAATCATATGATCGGGAATGGCACTATTGATTACTCTATGTTGAATTCGATTGCGTTCAGATCGAGTTCACCAACAATACCAAGGTCCGCGTAATCACTGGCTGGATTGTTTGTTCGATGCTTGAATTCGCAAATAAGTTCCCCATCGAAGAATACCTGTTACCATTATATTATTATACAGTCTATTTTTCATAAGTTATATTATAAGTTCTATTATACTAATATTATAAGTTCACATGCTCTTCTCACCTGGCAGTTAATTCGAATGAATTACTGCAGGGAGAACCTTCAAAAATTACCGAAACTAATGTGGGAGGGTTTTGGTTCATTTCAGAATTTGTGAGCATAATTCGGGAATGAAAACGAATGAACCTGGATAGAATCAGGTGTATTCAGGAACTGAAGATCGAAAAGAGCGCCCTTCCTAAATGGGAACATAATTCCACGCTCCTCTTCTCCCCAATTACGATCTATTAGCGCATTTCGCACAATCTGAAATTTTTATTATACCAGTTAAATAATGGCGTTTCCATCAAAAACTTCCATGAGGAAAAAAACGCAATGAATTCAATTTAGTCGGCACCAACAGCTCAATAATTTTTATGAGTATAAATCCAGCTTTTTACTCGAAAACATTTTCGCTGACCCTATCACTCAACGTACTGATGTTAACTGCTCACTTTTCTACTACGAAACATAGTCTCTAGTCTCTAGTAATGACTTATAGTTCGACGATTCTATCACAACTGGTAGCAGAAATCCATATGAATATCATTCTATTGCAATGAATAGTCAAAACGATACGTCTTCCTGGTCGAAGCGAACTTTGAAATGGAACAGAATATCGTCGTTCCTTGCAAGTAAGTTAACGTCGAAATTCCCTTTCGGCGTACCGTAAACGATGAAGCTTCTTCCTGAACGATCATGATCAATTGCTATTCGTAGTGATACATGAGTTCGCAATGATCGAACATCATATGCTAAATGATCCTTTCCTTACTAATCCAAATTATAATAGAGCTGATAAATTCTTCATAGATGTTGTATAATCAATGTTCAATTAGTATTCTTCATATTTAATCTGTATTCAATCAGTGATTAAGAAGTAGAAGTAGGAAATGCGCTCGCTACTGCTTTGTTTAATTATAATATTAATATTCGGTTGTAAACTGTTCTACGAAGTTGATGATTTGATTTGATTTGATTTGATTTGATTCGATGATTCCTTCGAAGATTTGATTCCTTCGAATCAGCAGCAAATTACAATTGCAAAACAAAATGTGTATTGTTGAAAGAATCCACAGCAATCATTCGAGTCGTTTCTTCAGTGGAATAATTCGCTATAGTTCCAAAATGTTCAATAACCAAATTCTTGGCTATGAAATCCGTGTAATTGCAACCAACAAACAAGTGAAAACACCCCTAAACCACCTACCAATCTTCAGATGACCATTTTCGAACATAGTTCTGATCGGAAGAGTCATGGGCGAACGACCAGTCCAGCCCACACCTTCCACTGTAACATCACCAATCACAGTCAAGTATTGGATTGTTCTGAGTGGAAGACGCATTGGGTATTCATGAATCTTTTTGTGGTTCGCCAATATGTCGAATTTATCGCCATCAGCTCGAATAATGAGATGGAAATCCTCACCCCGTTTGAATGGATTCCATACTCTGTTTTCTCGGCCCCATTTCAGAGGCTATAAACGACTTATTTCGTTAGCATAATATTAATACACATCCCGTCAAAGCAACTGTAACTATATTCAAGCATTTGCTCAGTTGATTCTCATCTGCGTTATGCTGAGCAGTGGGGTTCTTCTGGCGTTTCTTTGACTATAAATGATACACAATTGATGGTTTCTGTCTAGTGAATAAACGATGCGGCCTGGTGAAATCATCAAATTGATGAACCTGCTCCATCGTGTTCATCACGATTTGGCCCTCATCAAAACGAATATCTATGTGAAGCACTGCTTCAGCACCTGGATCCTGGATCCGCCGTGCGCCACGCATATAATTTACACTGAATCTACAATCATTTGTATCATCACTGCATTTAGGCAACAAACATGGAACTAGCAGCGATTAACTGGTCTTTTTTATCATTTCGAAGGTGTCATACGAGTGAAAATAAATTCCGACTCGAAACAATGATGGTGATTGTTCGCATTAACAACTTTGGCACAATTTGTCAGCACCAATGACAAATTGTTAAATTTTATGAGTAATCCGAAGAGCACGCTGATGAATAAGATGAACTGAACGTAACAAAAGCAACTTCGCCAGAACACAAAAAACCTTTTCGTATTATTGTGCACACGCCCATAAATCAAATTCATTTGCGCAGACTTCAAACGGCGAA